GCTGCGCGCTCCCCGCCTGTGGTGTGCCGCCCTGCCGATCAGCTGTTCGGCGGGTAAAAAATGGCCGCCGGAACAGCCGAAAGGGGCCGGGGCGCAGCGTTTTCGCGCCCTTGGTAAGCAAGGGGAGCGCGCGAAAATGCTGCCGGAAGCCCCAAAATGGTTGCGCGCAGCTTACCGACCTTCGCTCTGCGATTTTTGCCCATAGGGGCCATCGTTGTGCGATCGCTTTAGCGATCGCAAGAGCGTCACCGTAGAGCGAATTCATCGCTCTACGGTGCGCTCGTTGTGCGAGGCACCACTGTATTTAAAAAAATTGCTGCAGCTGATGACATAATCAGCCTTATGAGTTGTAGGTCTGTGAACAGGGTTCAGTTTGCCTGACAGTTTCTGGGGGTACTTCATGTTGTGTAAGTCAGAAGAAAGGGCAGGAAAGCCTTTTTGCATGAATGGAATTCTGGATTTAACTTAAGATGCTTCATACATCTTTAATATTCATGTAGTTTTCAGAACACTATGAATTAACTCATCATTCTTCTATTGCAGTAATGGAACTGAACTTTGAAATTAGCTTTAGCCTTATAGTAAATACTGCCATATTTAACTACTTTATTTCCCCCCTGAGTCTTCTTAACATGTTATTTTCGCCACTCACCTCAACACATGGCATCCTTCCAGAAAAATTAGCAGCAGTGTAACCAAATGTGACATTTGCTATAAGTTTAAGGCCAAGTTGACGAGCATCAAGCATTCGACTGATAGCTTTATCATGCTTGTAGATTTTCATTGATTGCTTCACCATTATTCGAGTCTTTAGAATTTCTTCCAACATTCTTGGCAATACACCTTTTCTTACTGAGGACTACCAGAAAACAAAACAAATTACAGTAAAATACCACTGAAAAATCAAAACTTCCTGGTAATATAAGAATTAACAGTAAATACACACACAGAGAGAGTGTTGAGTGTAATGAAGAACCATTTGTTTATGATGAATAAAACAAGAATATTGAATAAGCAGCTCATGAATTATGAAACTTGTATGTTCATAGCATCATTACAGCATAATTAGAAAGGGTTATCAACCTCAGTGAAGATTAACTCTTAAAATGTCTGACTTGTCCAGAAACCAGAAAGGACAGTCCATACTAGAAACCAGAGGTTATTAATGCAGCTGAATGGGGGTGGTGGTGGTAGAGATTCAATTAAAAAAAAAAACCCTTCTTCACACAGTACATAGATAATCTATAGAATTCATTGTTACAAAAGATAGTGACAGCCACTAACTTGGATAGTTTTCAAAAGAGGACTGGATAAACTCATGGACAATAAGGTTACTAGCCCTTATGGCAATATATTGTCTCCAGTATTTGAGGTAGTATTCCTCTTAATACCAGTTGATAGGGCATGCAAAGCAGAAGAACTTATTATATTTGTGTCCTGCTTGTGGGCTTCCCACAGGCATTTGGGATGCTAGTGGTCTATTCATGGAAACTGCTGGTTACTGTGGGAACAGAATGCTGGATTAGATAACCCTCTGGTCCGATCCAAGTTAGCGCTTCCTGAGTTCTTATGAACAATGCTTTACCTTAACGAAAGCAATTCCACTGGGCGACACTGTGATATCGTGTCGAAGCTGATACAGTAAATCAGGAGATACTCTCAGAGATGTGCAACCAAATTTAAACTCATCATATCTAGAAAATAAGAAAAAAGCAATCAACTTTTCAGAACTAATACAAATGGGCATTTCTAGTCTGCATTAATAGACCAGATACCTGCATGCCACATTATCTAGCAACACTATCCAACTCTGGTAGTAAATCCATTTTAGTTGCTTGTCCATTCCTCTCATCCTCTCTCATGCCCAAGCCTCCCCCCCACTTTCAAGCTTTATATTCTCTTTCATATGTGCCTAATTTGTATTCTCTCTCATGACTGCCATCTGTTTTGTCTATGTTAAACAATCCCCAAATAAAAATTTACTCCATCTTTCCATGTACAAACTAAAGCAACAGCAACAGATAGACTAAAGTGATAATAAAACAACGTATGTATCTAAAGTCAGCATATTAAAGTCATATTATGAATAAAAGTTTGGTAAAATAAGGTAGCTTTAACTTGGCACTTAAATGACAATGAGGGTACCAGGAAATCACTCCACTGAGGAAACTAAATCTTGCATTCCATTAGGAAAAAGCCTCCTCTCCCCTGTGTGTGTGTGTATGTATGTATAAATCCCTGCCCATTTTTTTTTTCAGATCAACAGCAACAACAAAAGGCTGATGTGATAGAGGCATGCAGGTCTAATTTCTGGTGAAGACAGAAGGATGTGATGAGACCATTACTTTGCAGATGTTACTGAGGGCTGTCAGGTTTGTATAATTCGATCAATGTCCTCAGCAGTGTTTCAACACTATATTCAATATTGTTTAGGGTGTCTTAAATGGAGAGTACAGTGGTCTCTGTCATAATGAAGCCATTGATGGGGCCGTAATTACTAGGGTGGAAAGCTAACAAGTCTTGTGCAATGCTAGGTCTGAGCACTATTAATTTTGGTCTTTTAAAGAGCACTGCCTTTTTAAAGGGTTATAGTCCTTGAAAGCAACCAGTGGAATCTCTACAGTTAATGTATTATTCAGTATGAAGATGCCAACTGCGCTTTAATTATCTATCAAAGGTGACTGGGAAAAGAGCTTTCATGGTGCAGCAGAATCATTCCTGCAAAACATCAATGAAACACAAGAAGTATCAGAGAAAGTGGTAGGTTCCAACTGCTCTTCCCTCAGCTTCAGGTTGTAACCCAATAAAACAACAGAAAGGAAATAATCAGCACTGAAAAGTCTGCCTCCAGTGGATTCTTCAGATTGTTCTTAATCAAAGACAGTTCTTCCTGGGCAAGGTCAGGGAAAGAAAGGGGAAAGAAGCAAGCATGTACATTCCAGATATCAACCTCTTCGACTTTGATCAACCCCTGCCTCACTTAGATAGCAAAAGGAAATACAGTGGTGCCTCATTAGACGATTGCCTCGCGGGACAAAAAACCCGCAAGACGGTTTTTGCGATCACTATGGTGCCTTGCAAGACTTTTTTTCTATGAGTGTGCTTCGCAAGGCTTTTTTAAAAGACCAATGCTTCACAAGACTTTTTGTTTAGACCGATGCTTCGCAAGACTTTTTTTTTCTGAGACTGATGCATAGGGAACCTCGCAAGACGATTTTTTCACAAGGCAACGATTTTCACGGAACGAATTAAAATAGTCTTGCGAGGCACCACTGTAATCCACCCTAATAAATGCCTCCTTTCTACAGCTTGTGAATGCTGAATTTCTATAGCACTCTTTGGACAAATTTGCTGTACAAGACACAATAGGATGTTTAAGCATTTTACAGATTGTTATAATGAATGTACACTTTATGGTTTAATTAAAAATCCCCTTACAACCACATTGGAATTCTATTATCATAACAAATATGTTTTTAAAAATTTATATTTTATCTCAGTTTCTACATGGCTTTTGAGTATTGATGCTTCTGACCATTTTCAAAAAGAGGACTTTTCTGTAACTAAAGGGACTTTCATATAGATGTCTCTTGAAATGCATATACACACAAAAACATGTGTTACACTTGTGTATTCATTTCTACATGCTGTTTTATGTAAGGAAATGGATTTTAGAAACCAAAACACTGAATATTTTCAGAGAATCAGCTAAATCAGAAATAATCAGCTAAATTTATTCTTTTTGATCTATGAAGTATTTATTTAGTATCAGAGAATTAAATAGCGATTGAAAATATTAATACTTACTTCCCCAAATTCTCAACATGTCCCAAACATGTGGAAAAACAGTAGTTGTACGCTATCACGATAGATGGATATAAAGACTGAAAATCTAATACAAGGACAGCATTACTGTAGAAACGGGACTCTGGTTCCATTATTAAAGGAATACACTGAGGGGCTCTCATCTGAGAGCGCTGTTGGACGCTGGGTGTCACAGCGATATAATTCATTGGTTTAGCAATACGTAACATCATTGACTCCACACGGTACTACAAAAGAAAAAAGAGTATCTAGGTCAAACTTAAAAATGGAATACACATTTTTCAACACTTCCAGAATGACTATGCTACTGCTATTCTTAGTTTAACAAGCAGCAAAACTTGTGAGAAACAGATTTTTAAAAACCATTATTACCTTGACTGCATTGACTTTTGGATTCATAAATTGAGAGAAACATCCTGAGTAGCTCTCTAATTATTTTCCTGTTTTGTGAAGGACTTTCCTCAATTTTCAACTCTTCAGGAGCATTTCATTTACAATAAAATCCCTAATGTGAGATCCAAGTAGTACAATTTGACACTCAGAATGTTCCACTGTCTATAGAATATAGAGCCAATGAATTGGAGCTACATCCACTGGATGAAAGCATCTAGCAGTGTGGATGGAGCCTAAACTTCAAAAATATGGAATAAACAGAGCATCTTCCTGTTAGAAATGCTCTACTATACAGATCATTAAACGTGAACAGAACAGTGAAATAGGCCAAAGTTAGCAGCATCTGTCATAAAAAAGGAATATGAGATGAAGAGAAAGAAGACAGATATCCTGTAACTTGATTACAAAGAGAAGTGATTTTCCGATCTATCTGTAGGCTTTTGATCTTTCACAAAGAGGCAGCATAGACCTGGAGCTGGATTTGAAGGCACTCTACAGGAGGTGATTCTTGAAATCTATGCCCTGATTATAATTAAAGTCTATCTTGAACTTTTGATTCACCATATTTTCCCAAGAATTAAAAAAAAGAACTTCCCAAATGTGCTGATTTTCCAAAATGCTTACAGAATCCTACCTGTGATCCCCTTGTTAACACATGCAGAAACTGAATTCCAAACAGTCTTGCCATTTCACTTGTTCTGCCAATCACATCCATTTGTTCTAGCAGCTGGACATTCCCACGGACACGACTAATGTAATAATCCACCATTTTCCATCTTAAAATCAAATAACAAACCATACAAATCTTTAGAATCAGTAAACAATGGATATTCTGGGGGGAGGGGAAGAGTTCCAAGAAATTAAACAACTACTGTATTTGTCAACATCTTGAATAAAATCAAAGACAAAAATGGTGACGACTGGACTGGACAAGAAACAAAAAACAGCTGTAACAAATGGGATCTGTGTCTGTGCTGAGCACCCCCCCCCCTTGGAACCCTCTAAAGAAAGTGAAAGACTATAAGTAGTACCCTACCCCCTCCAATCTATACTGGCATGCAGCCTCACAAAAACTGGGAAAAGCTAGCAGGAGTGGTTTAGTTGCCAGCAGGTGCCAAGGACAAGAGGATGAGTGGGTTGTATGCATGCATAAATCACCACTCAGTGACTGAAATCCTGCTGCTTAGATTAGTAACTCACACTAGAGTAGGCCTACTGAATCAATGGGGATTTGGTGAGTTAACTTCTGTATAAGTTCCACTGATACAAATGAGCCTACTCTAGCTGTGACTTACTACATTAAGTAAGTAGCAACTAAAGTAGGCCCACTGTAATCAATTGAACTTATGGAGACATTGACTCACCAAATCCACCAAATCTGATGGGCCTAATTTAGTATGATTTTAGTAAGCAACAGGATCTTTGCCAAAAAAACATATTACAGTTGAATCACCTTTGTGGCCTCTATGCATAACTTTAGATATGTCAAATAAAAATTATGTATTTCCCCCGTTTCATTTGCCTACAGTACCTCTGACATGGGCATTACATGCTTCTGGGAATATGAAACAGGCACTGTCTTTTAAATATAGAAATTGATTAACCAACTATAGCAGTAACTGATTACACTACAGACTATGAAGACAACATATGTAAGCAGCAGAACTATTTTCTACTCATGGAGTTGGCTTGCCCATAATACTAAACCACAGTATTTGCCATTCTGTGATCAGCTCTCATTTTATCATATATCACATAGATGATATTGATTACTCTCCCACCACAACACATTTGCATGGGGTCCACAAAAACCATAAACTGAACCTGCTGAGAGAGCAATATAGTATAAATCCAGGTGAAGTGTTTTACAATTAAGTGATATTTGCAGTAAGGCACTTCAAATTGTTGCTACATTTACTGATCTTCGCTTGCTGCCAACTGTTATATACAACAAATTATATGTTTTATCAAGAAATATAATTGGAAGTATCCATTAAAAAAGCAATTACCTATAGATGTCTGCCTTGTTATCAAACCAATCAGACAGAACACGAGGGGTAAACAATGGGAAGCGCTGATGGAGTATATGGAACCCCACATTTTCAAATGTATAGTTAGTTAGAGCCACCTAAAATAAGAGAAAAATGATATGACCAAAATGATATGACCACCCAAATAACCACATCAAGTTGAGTGGGAAAGGAAGAAATGTACCAGAATAGAGAACAGGTTAAAAACAGACACTGTTTATTTGTTATATCATCTGGCACAAGACATGGACTGAGATCACTGGTATCCGAATGCTGACTAAGATGACAATCCAAGCAGCATGCTGGGAAAATATTAATGAATGGAAGGCAAACTTAGATGTACGATAGTGCAAACCACTGACAGTGCAAGTGGCATGCGAATCCAAGCTGGGTCTGGCTTTGAAATAATATATTCCAAAATCTTTGAAAGGGGTTCCCCAGTAGCCAGTAGGTGTCAATTCCTATTGGATCTAGCCCAATGCTAGAGCTAAAGTCCTGACAAAATGCTTGGATAAAACTACAGTACAAAACCAAGAACACTGCTACACTGGAGACAAGATCTGTGTATTGCTAACCCAATATGCCAGTAAATTCTGATCCAAGCCACTGCAATGTGATGTGTGTAAGGGTAGGGTGGATGTCAGAAATGACATTAATGAAGCCCAGCTTAAGACTATTTATAACTGCTTGTAGTCAGTTCCATCTTGATTTAGACACGGCAGGGATTCCTGCAGCACTGCCTTTGAGTAAGTAGCTGCTGGAGGAGGTAGAGAAGGGAAGTCTGTGTTGCAACAGCAAGTGGACAGTTGCATGAAGAGCAGGAGACAAGCAGCTTGTGGTGGCTGGTGAGCTGAGGAGCTGGCTGAATGGGGGTGGGGGGAAGGGAATGCAAGGCACCTGTGGTGCCATGCTGATGACTTGTGACAATGCAGTACGAAGCACATCATGCCCATCTCTAGTGCCAGAGTTCATTTTGCCCAATTTCTCACTCCATGAGAATGGATCTGCCAATGAATGTTTATACCCCAATGAACATTACAAGTATGCAGTTAATTTAAAGGGTAAGAGTAAATATTTTATTTATTTTATTTATTTTATTTTATTTTATTTTATTTATACCCCACCTATCTGGTCAGTGAGGACCACTCTAGGCAGCTAACAACAGTAAAATGATACAATAAAAATATAAAATAAACAATTCTAATTAATAAAAACGCTACAATACATTACACGAAACACAAAACAAAACAGTAAAGAGGAAAGAGGGAGGTCAAGAGGAATGTGATGGAAAGGCCTGCCCAAACATCCATGTCTTCAATTGCTTCTTAAAGATACCCAGTGAGGGAGACCCGCGAATCTCAGGAGGGAGATTGTTCCAGAGGCGAAGAGCCACTGCCGAGAAGGCCCAATTTCTTGTCTTTTCCTTCCTGGCCTCCCTCGGCGTTAGGCTCCTCGCCTAAATATTTAAACTGAAATCAGTGTAACACACAGAATGGTTCCTGCAACTGTAATAAATGGCAAATGCTGAATGCAAATTGGGTATAAAACACAGACAAGAAAGACTGGTGAAATAAAACATGTTAAGAGTATGCAGTTACAGGACCATTCTGACAATGGTCAAAACTTTCATTTACAGAAGATGCCATGACTCATCTTCAAGTATGTTCTTCCCTCTCAGTCTGCTGTACCACAACATTTACATTTAGGTAGCCCCCCTTCCTGCATTTAGCATTTTCATGGTATCCTGGGGGTTGGAAATTCACTTCCATGAATTTCCTTTTGCCATGTAAATATATGTTAATATAAAATGGAAGATTATCAGCATATTTGTAGCATTTTCATATTTTTGTGCCTACACAGAATTATTTGACCTTTAAATAGACAGATATACAAAACTGGAAAACTACAGAAATATTTATTTTATTAGTGGAATTATGATGGAAAACAGCTGATTCTAAAAGTTATTCTGAAATTGTATATCATATAATAGCTGCAGAAATACACTATACACTAATGAGAAGTTCGATTAGAAATCAAACTCCTCAGGGTCCAAAATAATTCTAACAGACTTTACCTCATGTCTCATAATTCTCCAGATATTTAGTATAATCCGACCAACAATGTTTATTTCACTCATTGTATCAGACCCGTATTCATCTTGATCTGAAGCAAATCTGTTCTCTTTCTTATCTTCTAAAACATTAAAAAGAGGATTTTGATAATTCATTAAATTTTATTGCAACATATAAACTTTTAATAGACAATAGTCTGAACCAACACCCTAAAACAGAAGTGTCAATCTATTTGGTAAGTCTATCACAACCGAATTTAACAGAATAAGATACTGCCACTAGACTGTAGATTACAGCAGATAAACTGTTCTGCTAAGACTTCAGAACTGCAGCAACTTTTCTGGAATCAAATCTATTGAAAGCTTTCCCTATCTTAAGTGGGTTACTTAGCCTGAAAATGTTTCTTAATTGTTTCAAAATAATTGTAAAGCAGTAAGCACATTCAAAATGTTCACTGAAAACAAAGGGAGTGAATTGATGTTGATCACCACAGGCAAACATTTCAAGATAGTCTTTTAACCAATCAGGCAAAAACAGAAGAAAAATAAAAAAAATAAAGAAGACAAAAATGTTGTGGCACCTTAAAGACTAAATATTATATCTCAATGTGAGCTTTCGTGGAGAATAAGGTTCAAAAGAGAAGCAAGAAAGAAAAGCTGATATAAGGAAACAAAAAAAGGTATGTTTTCATATATAGCTGCATTTATTTTTAAGAACAGTAAAATGAAGGTAATAATTGTCACTTATGATTGCCCTTTTCCAAGGTTTTCTAGACAGTAAGTATTTGGAAATGATTTACCATCCCCAGCAGGGAATTAAACTTCTAAGCTCTGTGTGTGTGTGTGTGTGTGTGTATGATATATGTGTGTGTGTGTATACACAGAGAGAGATATATACCACCCGTGTGTGTGTTCGTTATACCACCCATCTGGCTGGCCACTCTGGGTGGTTTACAGTAAACACAAACAACATAATTAAAATACAATTTAACAGAACAGATAATAAAATTAATAAAATACAAATAAACAATACAATCAAAAGCATTACAATACCTCTGCATAAAAACATTCTAACGATAATTAAAGATGTCAGTGACACTGAAATAAAATAACGGCTTCTAATAATCATTAATAATCATTAGACACACAAACACACCTGGAACACGAGAGATCATCTGGCATAAATCAACATTTAGAGCAGCTGCTCTCTGCAACAGGTATCCCCAAGAATGCATTTGAACTTCATAGCCTAATAAAATATCAGGATCATACCTAAAAAAGAAAATAAATTTTCTTCATAGAAAAAAAGCTTTATGACTTAACAGATCTATACTGAATTTAAGGTTGGCAACCACTGAAACTGAAATGTTAGTTTCATTCCAAAGAGTGCGGAAATAAATACACACAAATGCAGAACCCACAAGTGCAGAACTATGATATGGAAAACTAGGTATACCAATCTGCTGGAGCTGCAGAGAAGAACAGAACATACTGTATTTTTTGCACCATAAGACTCACTTTTTCCCCACAAAACAGGGGTGTGGAAAGTCTGTGCGTCTTATGGAGCGAAAAATACGGTAGTTAATTACCGAGTCACTATATCCTCACACCATATGTTCATGTTTCTCCAGCTAAGAGCTAATGCTTAACGATTTATAATAAAAAACTTGGAATTAAATGTAGCTGGCTACAAGGAGTTGAATTAAGGGTAAATGCTGAAAGTGATCAACTAGATTGGTGGGTAACTGGGATCAAAGATATATAACTTCTGGAGGCTAATCCCTGGATTCTATCAGTATCAGAGAGAGCACAGATCTCATCAATGAAAAGATATCTGGGGAATGAAGAAACAGTAATTGGATTACAATGATCTGTGCATGTTAGAGAATCACATAATAATGGATTTAGAAGGGGCCTATAAGGCCACTGGGTCCAACACCATGTTCAATGCAGGAGCCCAAGTTAAAGGATACCCGACAGATGGCTGTCTATCTGTCTCTTGAATGCCTCCAGAGTTGGAGAGCTTAGCACTTGCCAAAGAAACTGGTTCCATTGTCATATTACTCTAACAGTTTGGATGTTTTTCCTAATATTGAGTTGAAATCTGGCAACTGTAGCTGGAAAGCATTATTACATGTCGTAAAAAAGGTATACTTTAGGGAAAAGATCTACAGCTTTGAAGCTCATTTACTCTCTACTGGATTTCGGTAGATAAATGTCTGAATTTAAAAAAACAATATTATCCTTAGTAACCGTCTATTTTTCCAACTGTACTGTTAAACAAAACAATTTCTAATATCACAAAGAGTTTTGCAGAGATACTTGCTGGCATTAGAAACTGTTCATCAGCTTTACAATAAATTTCCAAACATTCATCAGAGATGGTAAAAAACCCTTCTAGTTCATGTTTTGCTACAGGTGTACATAATTACTGTTACCCAGTTTTAATGAAGGATACAATTCTAGTTCCCTGTCTTCCACAGCTCTTGTGAATATATCATTTAAGTTTACTTTAACAGCACATTAACTACAAAGAGTTGCATTACTTCTACAAATTCTGGTCTGTCAATTTCCTGTTTACTCTCACTCCCCCCCCCAATTTTATAAACTTGTTTTCAAAGCAATCTAGCAAGTCTGTCCAATTTCATAATTATTCATTTTTCACATGAGGGACTGCAGCTAACAATTTATATCCTCAATGGCTAGAAGTGATGACACTTTAGATTTGTCTATTGAAACCACCAACATGTTGCTTTTCTTTAAAATAAAAAAATCCCCATGCCATATTACATAAGAGTGTCAAGGTTTGGCATTTTATATGTATACAGTGCTAAAATAAAAAGGGTGCGTGTAGAAAATGCAGCTATGAACATGTGCGTTGTGCTTTAAAAATGAAGTTTGAACAACAGTTTACTAAAAGTCAGTGCAGGGCAATCAGACACCTTTTCAGCTAAGTCTAAATGCAAGGTCAATTACACTAACCTTGCCTTGCAAAAGAACCTCCTTTCATTCCTAACACTTCTTAGGTAGATATAAGCAAATGATAAGAAAATAAAAACAAAAGAGAGGAAAAAAACCTACCTTCCTAAAGTGCAAATAGGGAAAACTGGTACCTGACCAACTTAGTTCACTAGGACTTTATATACATGGCACTTTGCCCACCCAGCAAAATGGTATTCAAGTAACTAACTATTCCCATTGGTACAGGGACCCATTTAGTCAAAATAAAGGCTATTATCTGCTATCGCAGCAATTTGCTCATCTCATATTTATGAGAGCCATATTTTGCCACCCTGGTAAAAGCAATAGAGATTTCTCAGTTGAAGAGAACTGTAAATAATTGAGAGAAATATAAACAGAAGGAAGCAAGAGACACAGACACAATGTACACATGCCACAGACACCAGATACCAATAACATAAACTTCAAAGAGCAGCAACATGTATCAGCACAGTAGTAGCAGCAATCATGGATTTTCTTCCATAGATTCAAACTAGCTTGGCCTGGTGAGCACCTAGAATATTTTTCATGTGTGTCCAGTAATATGACTGCTTAAAGCTATAATGCTTGTTACTTTTTAATGAAGTATTTGAAGAGTTGTATTCTGTTTTTAAGTTTCAATGTGCTTTTAGGTTGTAAGCTTCTGCATATCTAGCATGTAATTAAAACATTTTAAAAATATTTTAATTGTACCTTTTATGCACCTGTATTTTGGATTAAAATCTGACTTAAGTATTTGTCTGCAACAAGTTCAGTTTTCATATATTTTTAAGTATTTGTGCCTACAGTTTTTCACAGCTGTAAGATTGATTTAGTCTAACTGAAACATGCCTGTAACTTCCAGGTTACATTTTCAACAACTCTTAAAATATTTTGTGCATATGGAACATAAAAGCAATGAAGATGAATAAAGCTTGTGGAAATAGACAAGCTGATATTGCCTGGAATCATTACAGCAATGAAAATATACTTTGATGCCCAGATGGATCTAATATGATTAGAAATTGTTACCCATTTTCATTCTGGAATTAATGCTAAATGGGATAAATACCGGCTGTGAAAAGCACAAACTTCTAATATCTTCCTAGAGGCCTTTAGGAAGCTGTTCAGGTGACAAACTTTTTGACATGGCAAGATGGTAGTAATAAGGATCACAGAATGTGTTTTGTTTTTACTAAAAACCAACATTTACCAACCCGAGGTAGGTGAGAAGACATAGACTAAGAACTGAAGAATTAGCCAAGGAATCAAGAGTACCAGCCCCAAGTTTATAGCCCTTCCACATAAAAGCTCACTCCTGGGTGATACCATATTTGAATTCTCTTTGGTAGCATCTTTGTTACCCCCATTTTTGTTATCCTCATTTTTAAACAATCAGAAATTCCTGATGGCCTGCTTCAAAATACTCAAGAGACTTATGGATAGGTCATGATCCATCTTTTACCCAACCCCGCTCATCATAAGCTTCCTCAGTCTAAAAAGAGCTATGCTTTAATACTTGCTGATTGATGCACACAGGCCTATTTGTGTCTGCAGTCAAAAGAGAAACAGTTCCATGATTCTTGGATTTCAGTTAGGAAGCTGAAATCTGGTTCTGCTATAACGCAACATAAAGGACAGCTGCTGGGTTCATGAACACGCAAATTGTCACAAATCCATGATTTTTGAGAACTAGCAATTCCATGTGGATGTTGATGTGCTGTCTGTGATTCGAGCAGCTCAAAAAAGCATAGCAGTCACGGCAGCCATACAGACAATAAAAATGTTAAAGTATTCCTGATTTCTCAAAGCATTTCTTAGGACCTTAATACTTTTAAAGCAATACAGCTTTCAGAAATTGGTGTTGTTTTCTTTTCGGTAGAGGACATTTTTGAAAAAAATTGCACAGCACTATCAGAAGAACCATGATAGCTTCATCCATAGCTAAAAGCAGGAGTATTGGCCAACTCTAATTCCAATCGTTCCTGATTGCCAACCCTACCTCATCTGGAGGGCTATATGCTTCCCACGTTACTGATAAGGTGCAATTTATGAATTCCATCATTTTTATGATGGATGCTACCATTCTGTAGGTATTTATTTATTTATTTATTTATTTATTTATTTATTTATTTATTTATTTATTTATTTATTTATATTGAGCTTATATGCCGCCCATTTAGACATAGTCCACTCTGGGCGGCTCACATATACATAATAAAAACAATCAACATAATGTAACGGTTCCCGACATTAACTCAAAACAGTATAGATTAAGAGAGAAAGATGAAAAGGGGAAATAATTATGCTTCAGTGACAGAGGACTTCATATGCAGACATTCTTAGGTTTAATCTATAGCATTTTTAGTTAAAAGTAACTGAGATAAGAGGTAAGGGAAAGACCCTTTATTTACATGGTGATAAGCTACTGCCTACCAGAGAAGATAATAATGCAGAAGAAGGACAAATAGTATGAGACAGTATAATAATAGAATCATAGACTAATGCAGTTCAAAAGCCCATCTAGCCATACCCCTGCTCAATGCAGGATTCCAAATCAAAATATATATGACAGATGACTGTCTAATTTTATGTTGAACACCTCCAGCGTTGGAGTGCTCACTACCTCCTGAAATAATTGTTTTCATTGTCGTACTGCTCTAACAGGATGTTTTTTCCTGATATTGAACCAAAATCTGGCTTCCTATGACTTGAGCTCATTATTACATGTCCTGCACTCTGGGAGGATTGAGAACAAATCCTGCTCCTCCTCTGTATGACAATCCTTGAAGTATTTGAAAAGTGCTATCTCCCCTCTTTCACTCTTTCCTCATGAGGCTTGTTTTCCAGCCCCCTGATCTTCCTTGTTGCCCTCCTATGAACTTGTTCCAGCTTGTTGGCATCCTTCTTCAAGTGTGGAGTCTAGAACTGAACACAATGCTCAATATGAGGCCAAACCAGTGCCAAACAGAAGGGGACTAGTACCTTACAGGATTTGGAGGCTATACTTCTGTTAATGCATCCTAAAATAGCATTGGCCTTTTTTGAAGCTATATCACTCTGTTGGCTTGTGATCTAAAACATTTCCAAGATCCTTCTCATTCACAGTTTTACTAGTCAGGATTCCCCCATCCATGCATTTGAGTTTTTTCCTCCTCGGCATAAAACTTTGCACTAATTCCTCTTAAATTTCATTCTGTTATTTTCAACTATGTGCTCAGTCTATCAAGATTTTCTTGAATTTTGTTTCTGTTTTCCAGAACATTAGCTATTCCGCTCAGTTGTGTGTCATCCACAAATCTGATGAGCACTCCCTGCATGCTCTCATCCAAGTCATTAAGAAAAACATTGAAGAGCATCAGTACCTTGTGGTACCCATCTTTGAATTCTCCCAGTTTGAGAAGAAGCCATTAATAAGCATTCTGAGTTCAATTCTGTAACCTACTGAGTATTCACCTGTACTATCCAGCCCATACCTAGTTAATTTGCTAATCAGATTATCACGACACACTCTGTCAAAAGCTTTGTTAAAGCCAAGATGTTAGGCATCCTTCAGTCTCGAAAGACTATGGTAACGTGCTCTGTATGGAGGACTTGGAACAGCATCTAGTGTGACTGAGAAAATCACCACTATCTACCAGAGAGGATATCCAATAAAAAAGAAGGTAAGATTACAATGGCAGGATTTGTTCTTGACAAATCCATGTTGACTTCTAGTTATTACAGCATAGTTTTCCAAGTGCTTGCAGAATATCCTTTGTAATCTGTTCCAGAATTTTCCTTGGAATTGATGTTAGGCTGATTGGAATGTAGTTTCTAGGTTCCTCTTTTTTGCCCTTTTTGAATAAAAAAAGGATGTTAGCCCTCCTCCAATTATCCAGCAGTTCACACATCCTCCATGATTTCAAGAAAATAATAGACGGTGGTTCTGAGAGTTCTTCACTCAGCTCCTTCACGTCAGCTCCTTGGGTGCAATTCATCCAGCCCTGGACATCTGAGCTATTTGTTTATTAATCTCAAGCTGCAATCCTGTGCCCCTTATTTGTACTTCACAAAGGGTTATAGGTTATCTTTTGGGAAAAGACCAAACTGAAGTGAGAATTGAACACTTCACCCTTTTATTTGTCCTCTGTTATCCTTTTTTCCATCTCTATTGAGTAGCTGAGCAGAGTTTCTTTTCTCTGCCTTTTACTAGGCCTGAACCTGAAGAATGCTTTTTTGTTGCTTTTAGCATTTCAGTGTTTGCCTTCCCAATGCCATCTCTAAAATTGTTTGCTGTTCATCTGTTCTCATCCTTTGTGGCTGGCCTTTTTTCTACTTCCTATATGTGTCCTTTTAAAATCAGGTTCAGGTCCCTTCCAATATTTCTGTGGTCTTTTTTTGCTGTGTTCCACCTTTCTTTCCTGTTGGACTTAAGTTGTGCCTTTAGAATTTCCTCTTCAAGAAACTTCCACCCATACTGGATTCCTTTTCCTGTTAGGATCTCCTGGCTTGGGAGTCCATCTTACAGGAAGCATAGCCCATGGTCCCAAGTGCTGAATTCCTGTTTGCCTCTAAGAATGAAAAAGGTCAAAAATTAGAGTTTCTTTTCCACCCATTCATACTAACCTGAAAATCGCATCTCTAGCCATTATTTAAAATATTGAAAAGAAACAGTTATTAGCTATTTATCACAAAATTATGCTCTTGCATCCTATTCTTGAGCGATTTCATAAACCAACTAATAAACTCCAACAGAGTGAGGTACACTGTGAGGATACAACGAGTGCAAATCATTTTTGAAAATTAAGGATGAGCCATACGTTTCTCTCAACTCTTTCCCACTCTTTTTCTGGCGGGCTTATAAGATCAGTTTTTCTTGATTCTAGTTTATCATGTCACATAAACCATCAACTATTGTTAGTCTGTACTATGTTTAATGAAAACAAGGCAATGTCAAAATACCAGGTTAAGAATTCACTTGTTTCCTCTTACTGTGGTTAAAATTAAACACTATTTCTTGGGTTCAAATGGTACAACAATTCACAGTTAAGTTTTAAAACCCCTTCACCTTGTGGGCTTGGAAATGAGGAAGGGAAAAGTGCAAGGCTCACCTGATATGATTTCATGTTATCTCCAGCCCTCTGTCAACTCCTTCCTCCATGCCTTTATATCTTCAGTTTTGTTAACAGTATACCATGACTGAAGTAATTACACACCTTACAACCACTTTAGTCAGTGCATTTGCCAACTGAGGAATTATTCAGATTAACAGTCTTTCCACTGAGTTCAGTGAAGCTTCATTTGGAATACATAATGATTAGCAACAAAAAATATTTTGTATTTTTTTCAGTTCCTCAACATGTTTATGAAAGTGCAAGCCAATATGGGAAAAATGAGAGAAGAGAGACAGTAGTGATCTAGATAACGTATCAAGGCTAAATCAGGAACACATTTTACTTGAAGCACAGTCCCACTGTTTTCAACAAAAACAGAATAAACACTGTTACTGTTGTGCAAGTCTAAACTAGCTGAGAAACTGTCATATCGACTTTTCAAGAAGAAATATAAACTGCTATTGTTCTCACAGTAAAAATTCTTTGAATCAGGATATTTGAAGGTATTGCTTATATTCCAGTACTTAAACAGATACTCCAAGTGCACAGCACCTTAACAGATGTTCACCAGGCAGAAACCTAGTTGCTTTGGCTGTTCACTACAAAGATCTTAGAAATTAGTGTTTTCTTCATCCATGAAGACTTCATCAGTCAATTCTTCATTTGGCAATCTTCAGAAAGAAAAAGTTGTAATGTGCTACCTTTTGGCACGTCTAAAGTTTATTGTATGATAGCTTTCCCCAACCCTCATCATATGGTAGAGAATTCCAAGAAAAATAAAATAACAGAAGTAAGTTGTTACTTCCAAGTTGTTTCCCAAGCCAGACGGAGCAGCGGATTCCCAAAAAAGAGAGAGATAAAATTAATTCCCTTACCTGCAATTTTGTCTTCTCTGAACAGGAATCCGCTGCTTCGTCAGGACCCACCCTGTGCTGGTTGCTTTCAGCAACTCTTTAGTATTCTGGCTTCCTGGATTTGGTCAATGCCCTTGTCATCTGAAGTTTTCTAGCTGGAGAGAGAGAGAATTGCAAATGTACTCTGCCTAGCACACACTGTCCTTGAGAATGTATTCCAGTCAGATGTTTCACAGTTTGCTTTCTTGATAATACTAGGACTCTGAAGCTTTGGTAGTTCACTTGAAGAAAGGACATATCTGAAGTTCCACAGATGTATGATCAGAGGGTGCTACAAACACAAGTCAGAAACTTGAAAAGGAGAGGCCAAGTAGTTTTCCAAATATGGGGAAGCAGGAGTTTCCCACTGGGAAAAAGACACACAAACAGAAGCTAGCCTTCATGCCTATTTATGCCAGTTCATTTGTATCACACTAAGATGAATGAATTTTGCTGCACATTTTTTTAACTCTGTTACTTATAATGGTTTTGTCTTATTTGTACTGCAAGATGCGTAAAACCTTAGAAAGTCTTCAAAGTTTAAGATTTATATGTACATTGGCAATATTAAAATTTCAGTAAGACTGATGCGAGAGGTCTGTTTGGAGACTTGCACAGAGCACCTTAGAAGATAAAAGTATCTGTTACGAGCAGAGAAAGAAGATTTTCCAAAGAATTCAAAGTGTTCAAATAAGGAGAAAGAAAAGAAGTGGCAGGCAGATTATGAGTTGACGTAGCTTAACTACAGAGATACTCAGAGACTGGGGAACCTATCCCCAGAGAACAAAGGTACTCTACCTTTTAATAATATTCACTACCTCCTGGAAAAGTGCTCTCTCATCAGTAGCGTACATAACTTCCAATCCTGAGATACCGGATCTTGTAAGCAAAGGGGCATGTTCTCTGAGACCTGCAAAGCAAATTGAAATGTATGTCTAGAAAAAAACTTTACGTTATTTTGAAAAAAAAAAACTAAGAAAAAATCAGTTATTAACATTTTTCAACTCTCTCTGGTACACATCTACTTCTTGGACAATGAAACAGATTATAGATTTGAATAATATTTGTGATGTTTGAATTTTGTAAGAGTCTATCCATCCTAGGTATACTGCATATAAATATATTAGAGGGCACTAATTCTCAAATATTTATGACCTCTCACAAGCACAAGTCTGATGAAGGTTAGCTTTTTCTTGGTGGAAATAACTGGTTTAATATAGGAATGCACACTCCCCGCACACAGTGAACATTATTTTCAATTTGTTTGATATGAAGCATATTGAAAGTTTTTTTTACAATACAGTAATAAAATCAGTTATGTTTAAAGAACTTTGTGTGAGCTACATAGTCTCTACCATTATGTATTAAGTACACATTTTGCTAACCCTCCATTTCTAAGGTGATCTCCACACCGTGATGTTCACAGCAGGATATATTCAAGGACTACCTCCTGTTCAGGCTCTAGTTACTAAGCAGGGAAAAAGCAATAGGCAGAGTCTTGGGCAGGAGATAGTCATTCGAACCAGTCTGAAATATGGAAAGGCTTCTCTCTGAAAAACATTCTGAAACTGTGATGGTTCAATGGAGTCAGAAGGGACACAGCACTGAGCTGGTGGGGAAAGCAGGGAGCTAACAAGAGCTTTTGAAGCCCTGTATCCTTGGGCTCACGAGGTACAAGCAAGGCTACATCCAATATTCAAATACTAAGAATTAACATCCAAATAATTACTGTTTCATCACTTCAAAGTAAATTAAAGAACCAAATACATCCACATAAAACAAAATGAGACAAAAAATTTTGAGCCAAAATGTGAACACCATACAGACAACCTTCCTCATAAATTTCTCTTTGGCTGATCACAATTTTTTTCATAATTAGTCAATGTGTTTTTTAAAAGGCACATAGCAGGTTTTAATTGCCAAATTTTACTATACTATTCAGTAATACCAAGAATAAACCAATGTTCAATACTCTATACTAAGAAATGAAGAACTCTGCAACATTGTTAGTACACCTTTTATTTTCTGAAATTGTTTTATTAACAGACTTTACAATCTAATTCAAGTTGTACATTCTCTTTTCAGGACTTACCAAGACATCCTGAAAAAAGTCAGGATAACTTTTTAAATGTTGCATTTAAAATGTTAAAAAAATGGCATAGCATACTAAAATAGGTAAAAGCAAGTAATTATTTGACTTAATATCTAAGAATCAATTGATGAGAGATACAAGTTTGGCACAATCCTGAATTTCTTACTCTTCTCAGATCTTTAATGGTAAGTGGTATAAAATTATGCAATGGTAATTAGTCTCACTGAGTTTAATATTTTATTCTTTCAGATCTAAGTAGTTCACAAGTATCTGTAAATAAGGAACATTAAGTCAAATTTTCTTTTTTTACTAGCCTAAACCAGTGGTACTCAACCTTTAACAGCTGGAGAGCCACTTCACCATTAATTGCTGTTACAGAGCATAACATCAAGTACTGACATTGCAACCTTTGCATCATGATGTTCCAGTAAATTGTGATGGTGTTGTACTACCATAACACATCACAAACTGAAATGCTATGACCCTTGCACAGCTGGACTTAATGAGGGTCCGACCCCTGGGGCTGAACTGTCCACTCATGAGTCCAGCGCCACTCCCTCTCTTCCTTCCAATCACTCCTGAAGCCCCGCTTGGCTAGTGACTCAGCAGCCTTGCAGAGACTCCTCCTCCCTCCCATTGCCAGGAGTGGCTAGCTGAGCAGGCTCTGGGAGTGACTGGAAGGAAGGGACGGCCGTCGTCATCACCAGATGTGTGAGTGGACAGTCCGGCCCCAGGGAGCCAGACCCTTGTTAAGTCCAGCTGTGCGAGGGTATTCATATTCATATATGAATACCCCCATCTCTAGCTATGACACATCATTCTTTTCCCCAACATGATCTTTATTTCTTATTGGCTGTTGGGGAAAAGAGTGAGTCTTCCCATTCACTCCTCCTATGGCTGCTGGGTTTGAGGCAATTACTATTCTTACCTGTGGGGGGAAAAATCCCAGCAGCTCCTTCGCTTTCCTCCTATGGGAGGAGGTACTTCAGTGACTCCCACACTGCTGGTCCTTTGGTCAGTGCTCCCCGCGCTGCCTGATAAGAGTGGAGCGCCGATCAGATGCCTACACTGCGAGAGCCGCCTGTAGGGCCTCAAGAGCATCCAGCTCTATAGCCACAGGTTGAGTATCACTGGTCTAAACAAAGCCAAAAAGGTACAATACAATAAGGGCCCTGTTTAGACCCTACAAAGATCAGAGAAAACCACACAACCACCCTTATGGAACATTTGACATAATTAACTTCCTGTTTCTACTTAAACCAATTTTGTCAGATCACCAAAGATGTAATTCTTAAACAGCCTGGAAGGGTAAAAGGGTCTGGTCCAGCACAAGGATTCTGAGAACAGCTATCTAAGACATATTTTCCTCTTTATATCTTCAGGACTTCTGCAGAAATACACCAAAGTATTAAACACTAATTTCAAATATACCATGTTGTTCCTCAAGCATCATGGCCCTTGCAAATGTTCACAGGAAGATATAAGGTGGAAACCGCTATGGTTAACATAATTGCACAGTGAAATGACACAAGTTTAAACTCTAGCAAAAATCTGGAAATATAACTTTAACATATTGTTTGCTATTTATTTCATTATATTAAATTCAAACTACTGAGGATAATTTCTAAATACAACAGAAGAGAAATAAGAACCTTGGCTGGAGATTGTTCTTGTTCTGTCTTTATCAATCACTATAGCACCAGTTATTTCCATTTTATCAGTATCTGGCAATGGGGTGTCAGATGAGATGCAGTAGAATAAAGCACAGATAGGGTCAAATTCAGGATCTGCTTCCAAGTCCCTTCTTGTTCGAGCATGTAATTCTACACTGAAGAGTGTAAGATGCTGAACCTATGCAGAAAAGTATGCACTGTTAATTTCTTTTAAATACTTTTGATATGGTATTACAAATGAAAGCACTGGCAAGTCAGAGACAGCAATCAAATGTGAGTCTGTCAATTTATTTTGCATATGGGTTGATAAAAGTAACCTTGTTCTCCTCTGTGGAACTGGGACAAAATAGTTTGCTTCTACTCTGATCAACATAATGATAACTGGTAGCTGAAGAGCAGGCAATTTGAAATAAGGTCACTTGTCTCTATAGTACAGAAGATTCGTGCATTTTTAAAAAGAGGCTCAACTGTTTATAGGTTTATATTATGCATTAACCTCTGTAAATCATGTGCTTTCCCCAAAATAAGACAGGGTCTTATATTAATTTTTACTCCAAAGAAACCGCATTAGGGCTTATTTTCAGGGGATGTTTTATTTTTTTCCATGCACAACAATCTACATTTATGCAAATACAGTGGTGCCTCGCATAGTGATTGCTCCGTTTTACGGCAAAATCGCTTTGCGACGATGTTTTTGCGATCGCTTTGCAATGTTCCCTATGGGCTATTTTCGCTTTGCGATGATCGCAGGGAAGCGATCATCGCAAAGCCCCCATTTTTGGCCAGCTGATTGCCGGTTTCAAAATGGCCACCCGCTGTTTTCAGGCATGGATTCCTCACTTTAGAGGCACCGAAAATGGCGGCGCTATGGAGGATCTTCGCTTAAAGGTGAGTTTTAAGCCCACAGGAATGCATTAATCACAATTTAATGTATTTCTATGGGCTATTTATTTTCGCTTAGCGATGTTATCGCTTAGCAGCAATTTTTTCGGAACGAATTAACATCGCTAAGCGAGGCACCACTGTACAGTCATGTCATCTGCTGGTTGCTGCACAATGGTGGAAGGCGGGGTTTCACTTAACTGAGGCTTATTTTGGGGGTAGATCTTATACTACAAGCATCCTGAAAAATCATACTAGGGCTTATTTTCAGGTTAGGGCTTATTTTCGGGGAAATGGTATTTATCTATCTTCCCCGTTTGTCACCCTCTTAGGAAACCAGTTACTGAAAAAAAGCCTGCCTGAAGAGAAAAGCCTTTGCCTGCTTGTGGAAGGACAGCAAAGAGGCAGCCAGCCTGGTCTCGTATGGGAGGGATTTCCAAAGCCTGAGGGAAGAACTCAAAATGAGATTCTAGTTCCATAACCAAATCCTTATACAGTGGTGCATCGCATAACGATTTTAATTGGTTCCAAAAAAAGTTATGTGAAACATCGTTATGCGAAACACCATTTTCCATAGGAATGCATTGGAAACCGGTTAATCCGTTCCAATAGGCATGGATTGCCGTCCTTAAGCGAAAAAACCCATAGGAAACATTGTTAAACGATACAATGTTTCCTCCATTGGAATGTATTGAAGCTGACTCAATACATTTCAATGGCTTTGCGAAGTCAATTTTTGCAAAATTAAGTGTGTCATAAAAGGGTCAAAAAAGGTTTTAAATGCTTGGATTAGCTTCTGCACCCTCTAAAACGGATGCAAAAGTTAATTTGGCTTTGATCTGACTTTTCATTAATTTATGGTGAATTTTCCCCCCCAACTTTTGACAGCTGTCAAAATCTGACAGCTCCATGCTTTCCTATGGGGGAAGAAAAAATTCACAAAAAATTAGCGAAGACTCAGCAACTGTTCTAAATGCTTGGGTTCGTTAGAGGACCCCCTAAGATGTGTGCAAACCTGATTTGGCCTTGATCTGAACTTTCTCTAATTTTTTGTGAATTTTTTCTTCCCCCATAGGAAAGCATGGAGCTGTCAGATTTTGACAGGTCCACTGGTTCCTATGGGCCGGAAAAAAAATTCACCATAAATTAACGAAAAGTCAGATCAAAGCCAAATCAGGTTTGCACATGACTTAGGGGGTCCTCTAACGAATCCAAGCATTTAGAACCGTTTTTGATCCTTCTAAGACACTTTTTAAATTGAAAAAAGAAACATCGTTAAGTGAAGCAGGGGACCTAAAATCGCATTCGTTATGCGAAGCATGATCCCAAACTTCACTAAGCGAAAATCACCCATAGGAAACATCGTTATACGGTGCATATTATTTTCTAAAAAAACACATTGTTATGTGAATTCATCGCTAAACGAGGCAATCATTAAGCGAGGCACCACTCTACACATAAAGCAGACAAGGTTGTTCTTCAGAGCTGACTCTACACACAGCAGCAGTAGCAGCAGTAGTATTTATTTTGCAGTCACAGACCCAATTAAAACACAGCAATAGACAAAGGCTTATGTACAGGAAAGAGACTGTAAAACAGAGATATTAACTGTGATGAATCGAAGAACTTAGGATATATGAAATATGGAATTCAACTGACAGACTCTTCTATGCTTCTGCAAAGTGTCTGAGAAGCTGACCTAATAGTTAGATGCTTGTAAGTTTGTCTCCACTTTTGCTCCCATATTTTGAAAACTGTTTCTTGTAACCATTTGGAACTTTCTTCTTTGTGACTTATTTTTCTTTCCTCCATTCTTTTTAAATAAGCTACAAAAATCCTTAGTAAAAGGCGAAAGATTTATAATATCTGAAGAGAAACCAGAGTAGCTGCCCAGAAGTTAAAGAAGGAGTATCTGAAGACCCACAAGTTTAAATGAAATGACTTATTTTCTTATTGAGACTATGTGTGCATTTTTTATATTTTGTTTTTAACCCAGTATTTTGTTAAATGTGCATATTTGTATTCATACTTTTTAATCTGCTACATTTTCTTTTTTTACCAGCCTAAACCAGTGGTATTCAACTTATGTACATTTCAAAAAAGAAATATATACATTGCACAAAAAAAACCCACCCTTTAATTACTGGCAAAATTAGAACTGCAGGTGTAGTATGATCTAAGATCTCTTCTTGATTCTCTATATACTGTTGCAGACAGGATGTATGGCAGATGACGCTGAACTGGGAAGGGACCTTAAATTGCTGGTGATTGTACTGTATTGAAGAACGGCAGAGTTATCTAAACTAACAAAGTTAAACGGGGTTCAGGGAATGGAGGAAGGCTGTCCAACTGCTGAGGACTTGCAGCTATGGATTTCTTGTTTCATCAGGAGGTTGAACTCAATGACCCTTGCATCCCTTTCAGCTCTATATTACTGTGCTTCTATGAAAGCCCTTCAGTCTATGATATATTTGATTCAAATGTACTTCTCTTACTAATGAAGCTTATAAGCAAAATAGGACTTGAGAAGATAAATGTAATACCATTGGAATGTAATCAATGAGAGAAAGCTACCTCATGTAAATTCTTTGCTTCCTGAAGATTTTGTATACTTATTTTAAAACCATAAGAGTTGTTTAAAGATGGCCCTTCTATCTGAGACGTCTCTTTCTTTGGGGTACTTAAAGCAGTGAACTGATTCTGTAAAAAAGAACACATAAACAACAAAAACACTATTTTTTCTTGTTAATATATTACCTCTACCCATAGCAACTACTGGGCAATTTGTTTATTTGACCTCTCTCCCACCTTTTCCCCAGACTTGGATAAAAAGTGATTCATAACAAGATCCTTAAACATACACTGACATTAGTAATTAAGAATACTATATGACTGGACAAGAGAACAGTCTCTGCAAAGGGAATGGATTTTACCGAAATCACTATTCAGTAAAACAGTGAATAGATTCCCATCAAGGGAAGAGTTTGCTTACTCCTTTTGGGCTGTCTTATTAATGTGAGGCCCAAATGTCCTCTCCGCAATGAATTATGCATGTGCTATGGAACTCAATATTCTTTCTAAATAAAATAAAGATTCTTATACTTCCTTGTCATTAA